TACTAAGGCTGAAAATCGTTATACATTATTATATATTATACATAAATAACGGCAATGTTAGTCAGTCAGCTGAATAGCGGAACAGTGCTTGTCAGTCGTCCCCAATATACGTAAAAAATTAATTATATATAATTTATATAATAATAATTTTAATTTCGACATTGATCGATGTCTGCCAATAAAATTATAACCCCAAATCAAATATTAATCAATATATTATTTTTTTATGTCAATAAACTTGTAACCAGCACGAATGCCTGCACAGCGAAGTTCTTTCTGAAAATATTATGTCTGCCGTTAATAAAGAACCATTCTGGCTCGCATTGAGAGCATATCTCATTTTGAATATGCATTTAAATTCCTAGTTCTGTCTTCCTACCCAACCCCTAAAAATTCGAACGCCACTGTCTCTCACGCTCTCTGCTGTCATACGATCTCTGACGTAATTGCGGGCGTATAGTAGGCCGCCGGGAGCCCGTTAACCCCCGGATCGGGTACCGTTGATTGATGTAGTTGGCGCGCAACCCGAGAGAGGGCGCTGATTAGCGAGAGGGTAGATGGCGCCACCACCGCCGGCGTTGGCTCGCCGGCTCTAGCGGGAATCGGCGCTGCGTCGGGGTCGGATCGGGTTACCTGCCAATGAACGGGGACTAATTTGGAGCGGAGTGTGGAATGGGTTGGTTTATATCGCTCTAAATCGTCGAACATACTGTGGCATACAGTATAATCCGTACATGATTAGATAATACAATCAAGGAGCATTTTTGGACACATTTTAGGCAATATTTCTAATACAAACAAACAAACAACTTTTTCGGATGAGAATTTTCTAAATTTTCACCACCTATGTCTAACAACTGAGTGGGTTGTCCTCTCGGCTGACGTCGATTCCAAATTTTCTAGATTTATAGATACCTTGTCTAATCTGGCGTGCAAGGCGTTTCCTTTTAGGCCTATCAAAAGTAAAGAAGGTTTACCCTGGTCTACTACAGGCTTGCGTATATCTGCAAAGAACATGCGCTCATTATCCCATTTTAAGAAATTCACGGACAGCTTCTTCTTTCATAATTACGTGAAACTTTATAGAAAGGTTTATCGTAAGACTATAAAAGCTGCCAAGGACATTTATTATAATGCGAGGCTAGCCAAAGCCGGTAATGTCGCTAAGGAGACTTGGGCTATTGTAAATGACTTAAGGAATAAGACTTCTTCATCTGGTACAGTCTTTAATTAACCTGAAGATTTAAACACTTACTTTGTGTGAACCATAACTCCTTCCCATGATTCACTTTCATATCTCCCTAAATCAATGAGAATTTACACAGTTTCTTCTTCACGCCGGTAGCAGTAGATGAGCTCCGTAGTACAATTAGTAGTATTAAAAACAAATCCTCATCTGGGACTGATGGGCTTAGTCTCAAAATGTTCTCTGAACTTCCTGAATGCACATTAAACCATCTTACTACTTTAATTAACGAGTCATTCCAAAAAAAGAGTTTTTCTGCCTTAAGACAGCAATAATTATTCCTCTGTATAAAGGAGGTGATAAAGATGAAACTTCGAACTATCGCCCAATTGGACTCCTGCTCACATTATCTAAGATCATTGAAATATTGGTTAAAAAAAGGTTTCTATCTTCTCTCCTTAAATATAAAATACTTACTACCCATCAATTTGGATTTCTTAGTAACAGTTGCACAAATGATGCTATGTTCGGCCTTTTTAATAATGTATACTCTAGCCTGAATAACCATCACTCTACAGCTACAATTTTCTGTGATTTCTCTAAGGCTTTCGATTGTGTAAATCATAATATCTTAATTAACAAATTGCAGTACTATGGTTTCAGGGGAGTGCCGCTCGAATGGCTTAAGTCATATCTTGGCAACAGAAGGCAGCTTGTGAGGATTGATACGTCTATGTCTTCTTGTAAGCCTATAGAATGTGGTGTCCCTCAGGGTTCAATACTTGGCCCTATTTTGTTTCTGGTGTTTATCAACGACATTGCAAATCTAGACATTAGCGGTGAAATCTGCCTCTTTGCGGACGATACTAGTTTCACTTGGAGCGGCCCAGATGTTGCGGCACTATATGATACTATATCCAGTGACTTACGCACCATTAAGTCTTGGTGCGATTCTAATCTCCTATGCCTCAACCTATCAAAAACTAAAGTTTTGTCATATAAAAATACTATACAACCTTTTGTACTTAATAACACCACTATTGACGTCGTGGACTCCGTGAAATTCTTAGGACTTGTTGTAGACAACTCGTTAAAATGGGACTTTCACATCGAAGCGCTATCAAAGAAACTATGCGCTGCCTGTTTTGCGCTAAGATCAGTTTCTAAGGGACTTAACTTCTGAACCTCTAGAATAGCCTATTATGCCCTTTTTGAGTCACATCTTCGTTATGCCCTTCCATTCTGGGGTACTTGCTGCGCAACAAAATTTGATCGTGTTTTCAGACTTCAAAAGAGAGCAGTTCGATATTTATTGGGACTGAACATTAGAACTCACTGCCAGAATTTCTTTAAAAATTTGAAAATACTGACTCTTCCTTCTTTATTCATTTTTGAATCCGTTTGCTTAATCCGCAAGCACATATCTGCTATTCCCGAAAGGCCATCTCATAACTATCCACTTAGGAATGCAGAGCACGATCTTTATCTGCCAACCCCGAGCTCAGAACTAGTTAAAGGTTCAATACTGTACAATGCCAAAAAAATGTACAAGCATCTGCCTTTGAATATCAAGTCGCTTTCATTCTTTCCCGCATTTCGCAAAGCTCTAAAATCATATCTACTGGAGAGAGCCCTATATGCGGTAAACGACTTTTTTGTTGATGTTTAATTATGAACAATTTTGAATTTTAAAATTATCATCTCACACACTGGTCAAAGGTCAAGTATTTAATATTTTATAACTCTAAAATTATATCTATTTACTGCGTACTGTTCTAAATTTGTCCATGTATATTCTTTTTGTAATTTTAAACACTTTTAATTAAAAAAATTTTTGAATTGTATTATTTGTATTGTGTATTTTTTGTTGTTTGTATTTTTTTGTGATTTTGTTGTTTGTGAGTGCTTTGTCGATGAAGCTGTTTTGGCTTTTTGTACAATAAAGCCTTGTTTGTTTGTTATGTTCTCATATATGACAGAATAACAAATAAATTATGGGAACTTTTCAGGCACAAAACGGGTACGAAATCAATTTAGAAAAGTTTCGAAAATTTTTTGACAAAATGTTTCGAAACAAAAAGCGATTTATGTTATGAAACATGTATAAAAAATGTGATGAAACTGTTTCGCAATGTTTCTCAGCAGAGCTTTTGTGTCTAAAAATGCTACTTGGGCAGTGTTTATTACATTTTTTTTTGTTATTAATTGAGATTTAAACAGTTCAAGGTCGTGCTTTTTCGCCTAAGTTTGTTGCGTTTCGGCTTTTCTCCGGTTGTCTGGGCCTATTTTGGTTTGTCTTGTCCTACTTTCGTGTCTTAAAAGTGCCTTGAAACTACTCGTGAAACTGCGGAGAAGGGCGTGGGGGGAATTTGGCATTTCCTGTTGTCTCGTTCAATTTCGTTTCGTTTCGAAGTGTTTCCACGACGTGTCTGTATCTATGCCCGAGACAAAGGACTTTTTTTATATATCTCAGTGAAATAAGTAAACCCAGACGTTTCTAAAATATCTGTTGTTACGATGTTATGTTGATATACAGGGTGGTCCAAACTGTATTCCAGAAACATCGGCAGCATATTCTGCAAACAAAAATAAGTAAAAAAGTTTATATAAATGTATGTCCTAAAATGCTTAGTTTCGGAGATACAGGATGTATAACTTTCATTTTTATTTCTATTTTATCCAAATAATTTCTGAAGTAACGTCAATATTTGGATGAAAATTGGTGTCTGGAAGTTTTTTGACATGAGAAATTTGATGTCAATATGACTCCTACTAGTAGAGGGCGCCACCTACATATTTTTTAACTGGTTTGAAGAGTAATAACTTTTCATCCGTACCTTTATAAAACTTCTGACTAAAAAAATATACATTTACGATGTTTTTTACGTGAAAAAGGTCTCTTGGAAAAAATCGCTACGAGTAATGGTTTTCGAGATATTTGGAATCGAAATTATCAATACCTGTCATCATTGACATGAATTAAACATGTTGACTAAATAGTTTTTAGACTGAAATCATAAATTCGAAATGTTTTTGTGCCAAAAGTTCAACAGAAACTGTTTTATCATCATTTTTTGCAAAAAAATTATGATTAATTTAAAAAAAAAAAAATAAAAAAATTTCAAATTTATTATTTCAGTGAAATAATTTTATCTACTCAACGTGTTTTTTCGTCAATAAGGTATTTTCTATTTCCATTCTAAATATCTTAAGAACGGTTGCTCGTAGCGATTTTTACAAAGAGATATTTTTTACGTAAAAAGTCACAGAGATGTTTATTTTTTCGCTCGGTAATTTTATACAGGTACGGACAAAAAGTTATTACGTTTCAAATCAGTTAAAACACATCTAGGTGGCGCCCTCTACTAGTAGGAGTCATACTGACACCAAAATCAAATTTCTCATGTCAAAAAACTCCCGGACACTAATTTTCATCCAAATATTGACGTTACTTCAGAAATTATTTAGAAAAAATCGAAATAAAAATGAAACTTCTACACCCTGTATCTCTGAAAGTAAGCATTTTAGGACATACATTTATACGACCTTTTTTACTTATTTTTATTTGCAGAATATGCTGCCGAAGTTTCCGGAATACAGTTCGGACTACCTGTATATTCCACAAGATTAATATGAACACTCGTTTGTAATATGTATGTATAGGTAGTAGATTAACAACAAAACAATTAGAACAAAACTTTTAACTTAATCTGCAGGTATATAATTACAATATTTTTATTATTTAATTTCTTTAACTTTTTCTTTTTTTGATTTTTGTCTTAGATATTTATATATTTTTTTCTTCTTTTTGCAGACAGTGATTGTATCTATGCTGCTGCGTTACGCTCATCATCAGATCTTTATTTTCATAGGTAAGTGTGATCGAAAGTTTTAGAAAGGAGTTAATTTGTTAAATTTCTTTAAGTTTTTCGTTTAGGTTAGGTTAGGTTTAAAGATTGATGTTGGATCATGAAAGTACAGGGTGGGTCAAATTCGACGCTTTTAAATGGAAACACCCTTTTCTATATGAGATAGACGAAAACTAATATCGGTGTCTGGAACTCAATTTTCATCAAAAACATGATGGTGAAAACGGCACATAATATCTGTTACCGTTTCGGAGTTACGGGGTGTTTTTCAAATATGTGCATTTTTAACAAATCGCTGTAGCTTTTTTGCTATTGAAAATTTTGTATTTCTATGAAAACATTTCCAAAGCATTTTTTTACGTAGAATTTAATGGTTTAAGTATATTTTTTTTAAATTAATTATTTAAGAGTTATCAACAGAAAAATTGATTTTTTATTTGGCATATCCTCTATATTTTTAATTAACCGAAAATAATTTAAAATTACCTTTCCAAAAATATAGCACACTTGTTATTTTGTTATAATCCCCTTCGAAATACAGAATTTTTAAAAGTTTGCCACTTTTAACTAGTAGGCTTTGGACCCCTTATTGAAGATATATGCCCTTAATGGAACACGAAAACATATTTTTCCAGCAAGACGACGCACCGCCGCTGAACACTGAAGTTATCAGCAAATGTTTGCAGCCATTTTCAAGAATAATTGAATAGCTAACAAAGATCCCATCCGTTGGCTGTCGAGGCCGCCTGACTTAGTGCCCATGGATCTAATCCTATGGATATATTTGCGGTAGAATAAAGGCTTCTTATTCTTCCGTATAATCTAGACAAGAATTAGAAATACTTAGCAGTTATGAGAGGGTATCTTTCACCCCTACTGAGTTAATGAATTCCGCGAGAAATGTCCAAAAACTGCCCCGTCTATCCATAACAGAAGACGGTCGATATGTCGAACACCTGTAACAAAATCTCATGTCTTGGTTTGCTATTTAGTTTTATTGTTATTAGATATAGTTTAAATGTGTTGATGTTGGTTAAATATATTTTAAATTGTTATAAAATTCTGCATCTCTCATAGCAAGTATTATTTTCGTTTTAATTGATGCTCACAGCTAGAATGTTTTTACATTACAACCGGTGCCGTTCAAAGCCTACTTATTTAAAGCCGGCGAATTTTTATATACTCTATATCTCGAAGAGGAATCGAGCAAAATATCAAGTGTTTTATATTTTTGGAAAGGTAATTTTAAATTCTTTTCAATAAACTAAAAATATACAGGGTGTCCCATATAAAAAATCAAATTTTCTGTTGATAATTCTTAAATTATTAATTTAAAAAAAAATTATACTTAAACCATTAAATTCTACGTAAAAAGGTGCTTTGGAAATGTTTTCATAAAAATACAAAATTTTCCATAGCAAAAAAGTTACAGCGTTTTTTTAAAAATGCATAATTTTGAAAAACACCCCGTAACTTCGAAACGGTAACAGATATCGATATGCGGTTTTCATCATCATGTTTTTGATAAAAATTGAGCTCCAGACTCCGATATTAGTTTTTGTCTATCTTCTATAGAAAAGGGTGTTTCCATTTAAAAGCGTCGAATTTGACCCACCCTGTACATTTTACTAAATAAAACATGGCTTTTAATTAAATCCTGACTCATTTAGTTTAATACATACGATTTATTGCTTCAAAAAAATCCTATGGGTATTTCGCCACTGTAAGAAAATCTACAAAATAAAACGAGGTTGAGACTAATTGTCACCAGTGGTTTACTAATACACAAATTTGCCTAACGGACAAAAAAATGCTTAAAGTTTCGGGAACTATATCTCTTCCCGTCGCCATCATCGGAAACAAAAAAACACAAAGAACAAAGAAAAAAACTATTTAAAATGTATAAATGCAACTATTCGAGAACACTTTAGTTTTTTACAAACAGATACGTCTATAAAAACCGTTGACGTTCTGCTAAAATGACAATGTCATTTAATAGTACCTAAATTAATAAGTTATTGAATATTGTAATAATACTATAATTAACCTTGTAATTGATTACTTTATTTTACTTTAATTCATATTAATTTCTATTTATAAATACATCTTTAAGATTTCCGATGTAGGAATGAGTTTTCAATAATAATAAAGCACTAAATAGGCAAATTTCTGAAATGACAACTTCATTTGACAGTTAACTTTTACCTTGACTGGTGCTCATAAGTAAATACAGAGCAATAACAAAGGAGAAATATTTAAAAAGAAATCGGCGAGAACTCGTAAACGAGCTAATCAAAATTATCTAAAGTTATTCTTTTAAATGTGGGTTTTAGTGCTCTTCAATAAACCTAAATAGAATTATTTTAGAGACCATTAAAATTTTTTTTGACCCCATTAAAATTTACATGGGATTTCCTATGTCCCGTCCGACGATACAACACCCGGTATACGTATTTATAGTAATAAATACTTTGGCAAATAAACTATGAGCCATACAAATGCAGCAAATATTTTACAATATACAAATAATAAATAGGTACATAAGATAATAGGTAAAATGTAAAATATGTTTTAAACTTTGGGGTTTGAAAATCGATCTAATTTAACAAAAAACACTCAATATCTACTAATAGTGATGTATTATTATTTGCATTCACAAAATTTATATGTATATTTTGCAAGTATCAATGTTCGAAAAATTATATTTGCAAATAATACAATATCATAGAATACAGGCGTCAGCGATGGCTACGAAAGAAAGATCGCTGTCATTTTATATGTATGTAAAATTATTCTTAAATTTTTTATTTTCTTGGGATTTAGGTTCGGGAAAAACGCTGATTAAGTTTTTATTTGGTTTTTCATTATTTTTTTTGGTTTAAAAAAAACGTTTCGGCTAATTATAGCCTTCATCAATTATGGCACAACATCCATATGAAAAAAATAGTGTCGAATATAATTCAAAAAATTACATATTTATAAAATATGCACAACCTAACCTAACACCACATAATGTTTACTACAATTAATAAATTAATATAAACTTGCCAAAAGATGACCACATATTTTTTAAAATTATTATTCTTAACACTAAAACTATCTACATTGACTATGGCTGAAATCGTACTCCATAGTCAATGTAGATAGTTTTAGTGTTAAAAATAATAATTTTAAAAAATATGTGGTAATCTTTTGATAAGTTTATATAAGTTTATTAATTGCAGTAAACATTATGTGGTGTGTGGTGTGAATATTTTCTATGTAATTTTTTGTTATATATTGGACACTATTTTTTTCTAGCGTGAAATCATAAATCTCGCTCCGAGGCTGTTCTATTAGAGACGGCATTGCGTCAGCATGGCCACAAGTTGCTAACCTTATAAAATTAACACTAGAAAAGCCCGCGGGAACTGTCAAATTCAAAGTTATTCGTTGATATAGTCTGTTATCAAGTTAAACTTCAAAATTAACAATTACTACCTGATAAAGATTACTTAATAAGGTTAAACCAAACAGCTTCCGACTTTCTGTATGATTATTTTTACATATGTTTATTCAAGTAATGTTCTTTAAAATCAAAGAAGGGATTGCCATACATTACCAGCGTCTACAGATGCATGAGCAATACATTTATTTTTATTAGTTTGTATTAAAAATACCTCTTTTATTTTTCTTTTAGAGGCTATCGTTTCTTTCATTATAATTTTTGCGTCGTTAAAATCTACTCTGTGCCCTGTGTCTTAGATTCGTGAAAATTGCCCTTTCTTCAAGAATCTTTATGTTCTCTAATTGGGACTTATTTATTAATATAAAACTTATCACATTCACAAAAAAAAACTGAACTCTTACAGTGGCGACATACACATAAGACTTTTTTAAAAGAGATGAATCCGTCACAGAGGTATAGACATTTTTTATGATTTCGAACCTTTCTGTATCATAATTTCGTGCTCTGTACAGGGTGGTCGGAATTGGTATGTTTTAACAGAGAAAACCTATTTCCTGACTAGATATAGCAAAATCGACACAATCCAGTGGAGTAGTGAGATTTTTTCTATGCTTGCTCTTTTTCTCAGAAATAATAAAAATATAATTTTTTAAATAGAAATCATAGTTGACTATGAAAATGCTGACCTTTAACCATTTCAAACGATATAAAGTTATGGATACCTATTTCTAAGAATGAGAGAAATATTAGGTTTTTCATCTTTGTATAATTTGTGAAGTGTGCCTTGATTTTCTGTTGACCAAGTTGTCTAATTATTTTTTAACGTAATTTAATATTCTATATTATTATTTATCTGCATAATTAAAGACTTTCGAGAAGGTAAATTAACTTTCTATATTAGTTTTAGTAATTACAATTGAAATCGATACAATAAACAAAGAACAAAGCACAAAAGAAAAAAAAAACATATTTTTTGAGTGGCGAATATAGTTTTCTAAAAAAAATCATATTTTAGTTGTATAAACTGAGCACCTCCTTCTTGAATACATAATAAACATCTTTTGCGCACCGAGTTACAGCGATTTATTAGACGAACTGGTGTAATAAGTCCAAAAGCTTGCCTAGTAGCCTTCTGCAATTCTTCTCTCGTCCCAATGGTTCTTCCCTTATATACAGGGTGTTTCAAAACAAATGCGAAAAACTTCAGGGGGTGATTCCTTGTTCAAAATAAAGGGTAGTTTGCTTCATATACGTGGGGTCAAAAGTCAACCATTAGGGAGATATCGCGGTACAAAGATGGCGTAAAAATAAAGTTTTTATTTTTTATCTTGAAAACGAAAAGAGATAGACTAATGAAATTTTATGGAAGCATTACTGTTATGAAAACACACTTTCTGGTAATTTTTTCACTTTTTTAAAATGAAAATTAATTAATTAATTTTTTCGCATGATAAGATTTGATAAGATTTTTTTTTTAATTTCGTTAACAAGAATGATAGGGGTAGTTTATTTCAACCCCTTCCACTCATTTTGAATCATCGCGTTTCGTTTTCAA